CACACTTCCACGCTTACTGGCAGGCCCGGACTGGCCATCGGGAGGACCGGGAGGGAGTGTGTATGTGTGGCGCGACTCGCGCGAGCGAGGCACACCTTACGTGTTGTTGTTGTTAGCATCTGGTGCTAGCTAGCTGCGCTAACGGATATAAGGAGCTGTTTCAATGACATTTCGCCGACAACTGCGCCGAGCACTTGACTTTATGCAGGTAGCCAGACAGTGGGACATTGTACGAAAAGTCAGCACACTCAGCACGGATAGTACGCGCAACATGATTGCAGCGTCCAGGCAGCTCCCATTCGAGCATATATGCCTTGAGCTGCACATAGCTCCAACGATCCATCACAGTGTCTCCACACACACACACACACACACACACACACACACACACACACACACACACACACACACACACACACACACACACACACACACACACACACACACACACACACACACACACACACACACACACACACACACACACACACACAGTATTATTGTATGAGAGAGGTTCCAGGTTGAATTGAGGCGAATATTTGTAATGTTCAGAGGATGTTGTGTTTAATATTCATGAGAATATTTGTCATTGTTCAAATGATAATAAACAAACATATAAAGCATATTTGTCCACTCATATGTTGATAAGAGTATTAAAAACTTGAAAGATATCCCTCTAAGGTACATTTAGAACAGATAAAAAATGTGCGATTAATTTGCGATTAATCGCGATTAACTATGGACAATCATGCGATTAATCGCGATTAAATATTTTAATCGACTGACAGCCCTAGTATATATATATATATGTATATATATATACAGTGCAATAAGCTTCTTAGTGCAATAAGAAGCTACAGGGACGTTAATCTACGTCGGTAATATTAACTTTATTTAATACAACATTTACGGTACAAGATTTAATCATACAGCCCATCAGTGGCGGCCGGTGGTCTTTTTTTTTGGTGGGGCTCTTGACGTACTGGAAGTGACCTGCCTGGGGGGTCAGGGGGGTTTCCCCCCGGAATTTTTTTTCGAGAAATGACCCCTTAAATTATGACTTCTGGTGATGTTAGAGGGGGGGGAAAGGAGAAATCGAGGCTTAAAAATATGAGAAGACTGATCAATACCTCCATAATCTTCAGTGTGGAAAATATTATTTATCAACCTGAACATCTACTACTTTACCAGGAATTTGTGTTCTCAGAACTGGTGTTTTTTTCTTTCTTAAAACTGTTCATGTTTTATGAACCAACACCTCCACCAAGTGGCTTTACAGTGAACTGCATGTGGGATATAAAATTAATAGCATCTTTTCAGTAGCATTAATTATAAATATTTAAGTGGTTCAATACAAGTCACTACAGCATTTCAAACTGAACTGTGAATAAATGCAATTTAAAAAAAATAACCACAGCACAAAATGTCATAAATTGTGTTTTTTCTTTGTTTCTCTGAGGATTATTTACAAACAGGCTTATTTACATATAGCAATAACTCAGAAATGAAAAAGCTACATCGTCTAACACGAACAACCAGTTAGCATAATGATAATATATGTGTTATGTACAATGTAACTGGCAAGGCTAGAGCAAGAAAGAACATAAAGTTTGCAAAAGGTTTAAATAACTTCAAGTATCTGTCTTCAGATTACGTGGAGGTTTTAGTCCGATGGGAAGCAGATTTTAAGCGACACCGAAGATAAACCAAAAATGTGGTGGAGCTGCAAACCGTGTAGTGTTGCTGGGACAGGACAGGAGCTATAACCGTTGGAAAATACATCACAGACAATGCAACAAACGTGGAGACAGAACAATCACTTCTGTGATAAATGCCCACTTATTAATAAACTTCTAACAACCATGGGAAACCTCCTCTCTACATATAAAGTGATATCCAGTTTATTGGCCGATAGCACCTTTTTTACTGCTTTGAATAATAAACTGTGCAACAGGCAGAAAAAAGACAAAAACAAAAGGAAACAAGAAACAACTGTTCCTCTGGGGAAAATGAGTCGAACGCAACAGGTTTCCAAACAGTACTCATGTTCCTGGACTTTGTGGTTGAACAAAACATCTTAGGTATCCAAAAGTAACTTCACAACATTCTGCGGCCGTTTAATTGTCTCTCTAATGAAACGCATTTTTTTAAGGGTCGGCCATCTGTGTTTGCTGCGAGAGCTTGTGTGTGTGTGTGTGTGTGTGTGTGTGTGTGTGTGTGTCTATTTCTAGAGGAATTTTGCCCTTCTCTCCTTCTGAGTGGCAAACCTCTCAATGACTCTGGTGTTGAAGTCAGGAATGCTCCTAATGAGTTTTTTCTCAATTGACAGCATAGCCAGAGCATTCAGGCGATCCTGTGTCATGCTGTTCCTCAAGAAAGTCTTTATCCTTTTCAGAGTGGAAAAGCACCTCTCTGCCTCAGCCGTAGCCATGGGTGTGGTTACAAGAACCTTCAGAAGAATGACAGTCTCTGTGAATGTCTCCTGCAGATTATTGTCAAGGAAGAACTGGAGCAGAGTAACAGCACCACTGCAAGCCCTGAACTGGTCATTGTCATAGACGAGGGACAGTTCCGTCTTGAGCTTTGCCTTGTCCAGTAGAGGGTAGGCCTCCACAGTTGTTTCCAGCGCTGCTTCAGGGAATGTTCGGCTGTGCTGCTGGAACAGGTCTCCTTGCAGGAGGGTGGAGCTGATTAGGTGTTTGGTGAAGGAAAATCTCTCCTTTGCGTGACTCAGTATGGTATCACATACCTATGAAATAATGCACAATGAAAAAATCAAGACATAATAAATAACAGAATCACCTTTTCACATCTATCAGTCATAATGTCATTAGTGTCCCCTATAAGATGTGTAACAAACAAAGAGCTTTCTTGTGAATGGAACCTATCAGAATAACAGGACATCTATCTGAGCATCAACAGAACAATATTACTGTTTAAAATTAAGTCACTACAATATATACATTTAACGGAGAAAAGTAATATCTACATATAAAGACGGAGAAAGTAAACGATAACGTTTATGGTTAAGTGTTAGCACCCCCCGAAGAGGCACAAGCTCTTACGTTGATATTGGAGATTTCAATAAATTCAATTTGAAAAAAAAAACGGGGAAAAAAAACAAAAACGAATATCTGAATAACGAAATTGAAACCCGAATAGTACTCCAACGAACGAATATTCGGATATTTTGGTACAGTAGGGCTGTACCCGAATAATATAATAAAGTTATAGTAAATAATAACAAATTCCAGTGTTAGAATTCCATAATTCCATATTCATAAATAAAATGATATGCAAATAACATTTTCTTGGCTGTGGACTTGTACTCTACATAATTATGTTGAGCTCATGGTAATCTAATTCAATAAACAATAACTGCAATGAACAGATAGCATTTTCTGACTCGTAAAATGATTGGATATGGTGTAATTTGGCAAATGATTCTGTGTTGAAAAATGTATATCTTTAAAAACTGCGTTGGTGTATTAGGGCGGGCCATACTAATTTTTCTTGTAAATCGATCGAGAGGGGTGTTCAAATAACGTATTTTGGTGTGTAGAACACAAATCTATTTAGATGCTTTTATTTTGAAGTTGTTGCTATGGAAACAACATGACGGAGAAAAAAGTAATATCTTCTACATATAATAACGGACAAAGTAAAGAATGAAGTGTATGTTTAAATGTTAGCACCCCCCGAAGAGGCTCAAGCTCTTACGTTGAGTCTGGAGTTTCAATACATTCGGAATTTGACCGTGTAAAATGTCCTCTTGGGTTACCGTACAGCCAATGCGTGACGTCATTGGTAAGCGTAACGGACCCCGAACACATCTGGTAGGCCGAACACATATGGTACCTACACCGGAAACACTTTTTCCCATTGACTTACATGGGGAAAGAGTGGTCTGTAAATCGTTGGATAATTTTTTTTAAACTAAATAAACTACCCAGTATGAACACTTGTATAGCCCTTATTAAAAACATTCGTTCCTCAAGTTGTAAAAATGTGCTAATAACGTTATTCTGTGAGTTATTTCCCTCTGCATTATGAACGTGCATCTAACCCACGGGACTGCGCCGCTCGGCACATTCATGTTACGTGTTCAGCACTAGTACATGCGTTTATCTTTACCCATGGATGTACAATAAGAACGGACCCATATCGCCTTACTGCCAGCCCACGGAGCTGTAATAATGGATATATTGCACATGTTTGCTGTAATTCATCATTTGTAAAATATTATACTACATGGGCTGCAGTGGCGGCCGGTCCATAGGGGCGCTAGGGGCGCCGCCCCACCTCTTCCCATATTAAAAAATAAAAATAAAAATAAAAATAAAAATAAAAAATATATTTTAAAAAATATATATTTTTATTTTTATTTTTAATGAACAAGGTAAATATTATATAATTGGTATCAGTAAAATGTATAATCTACAATAAAATCTCGTTTAAAATTGTGTTACGATGTCTAAAGTTACTGATAAGTCACATGTTTCCTGCCTGGCCTTGCCCGTGTACCTTCTCTCGTCTGGGGCGCTAAGAGAGGAGCCCTCAACCAGTGCAGCAGCAGCCACTAGCAGCTGACTGTTGCTATCTGTAACGTGTAAACTATGCCGCGAAAACATAATTTCAGCCAATCAGCGTCGTCAAATATGACGGTCACGGGGCGCCAATGTCAGCGCCCCGTGCAGTCTGTGAGTAGTTTGGACAGTGACTCGTATCCGGTTGACGCAGTAGTTGATGAGGATGGCTTCTTGTGCAGGTGGAGTCTCCGGACCTCGGTCCCCGCCTAATTCTGTTCAAGAGCTAATCTCCAATCCTTTCGAAAGGAGAAGTTTGGCAGATAAATTGTTGCTTAAAGACCTTGGACCGGACCAACCCGATTTGAATATATCGCAGCAATCTCGTGAAAAAGACAAAACTTATACACGAGGCTTCGCAAGTAGCTGGTACACAAAAAAGGCTTGGCTAGCTGGATGCAAACAGGTAAATGCTGTCTTTTGTTTCCCATGCTTGCTCTTCAAACAGCCGGGGACAGATACGATGTGCCCGTGGACTGTGATGGGAGTACATGATATGAAGCATTTGTCCGAAAGAATTAAAAAGCACGAGTGCACGAAGGCACACATGACAAACACCTTTAAGCTAGCCATGCTAGGCAAAGCTAACATAGCCGCACAGCTAGATCAAGGGTACAAGATGTCGGTGAAAAAGCACAATGAAGAAGTGGACACGAATAGGCACGTCTTGTCTAAAATAATTGATTGTGTGAAATTTTGTGGGGGCTTTGACCTGGCTTTGCGTGGCCACGACGAGACTGACACATCCGACAACCCCGGCGTTTTTCTGGGTTTAGTTAATCTACTGGCCTCGTTAGATAGCGTGTTGGAGGATCACCTTAACACGGCTACGGTTTTCAAAGGCACCTCAAAGACGGTGCAAAATGAACTTTTGGACTGCATGTTATCAGTTTGTAAAGACTACATTCTGGAGGAAGTAAAAAATGCCAGTTATTTAGCTATTCAGGCGGATGAGACAACTGACATTTCCACCCACTGCCAGTTAGTGCTTGTGCTACGCTACATCGACCCGCATAACAACGTCCAGGAGCGTTTTTTTGAGTTCATTCCTCTTCAGAATGCGAATGCTGACACAGTTGCCACCGCGCTGATGGAGAGGCTGGGCACTATCCTCCCCGATGGACAACAGGGCAAACTAATCGCCCAAGCCTATGACGGTGCAGCGGTGATGAGGGGAGCTAAAGGTGGAGTTCAGCGGAAAGTGAAGGATGTGTACAGTAGTGCGCACTACATTCACTGCTATGCGCATCAGCTGAACCTAATTATGCAGCAGGCAACATCCCACATCCCCAAGATAAGAACATTTTTTTCAGACCTTGGTGGATTTGCTGCATTTTTCTCCAGGTCATTCAAGCGAACTGCGATCCTGGATCAAGTGGTGGCACACAGACTTCCTGGCACTTCCACAACAAGATGGAACTTTCACAGTCGTGCTGTTAACACTGTATATGAGCACAAGGAGAACATCCTGAGGTGTTTCCAGACAATCAGAGACTCAGGTGACTTTGATCCCATAACAGTGAGAGAAGCCGGGGGCTTTGTGCGAATGATGGAAGATGAAGTTTTTTGCTTTTTCCTGACATTGTTCCACAAGATCATGCCACATGTAGACATGCTGTTTAGCCAACTGCAGAAGAGGAACATCGACTCTGTCTACATCACAGGACTCATCAAGAGGTTCACCAGCAGCATACAAACAATCAGGTAAATCATTATTTACAATGGCTGAGATGTGCTTATTATAGGAAATCTGTGAAACCTAAATGTGATTTAGCTGAACACAATAGACCAACTCACACATACTTGTTTAAATATCTTAAACGGGCTTACTGGAAATGTATATATTATATAACGTTTATAAGGTGTATCTCTGACTACTATTTCAAATAGTCAAGTTAATTTGTCAATTCTTGCCACAATGAGTAATTGTACATGGTTACTTGTGGTTTGGATCAGGGACTCCATTCCTTCTGGTGAAAGCAGTGGATCTCAGCAGCTGCCCACAAAGAAACGGAGGGGACTTGGACATGAAGAGCAACAGCTGTTGGCTAGAGAGGTAAGCAGTAATAGGAACGTGTTCTATGACTAAAAGCTCCTTTCATAATATAGGTCATTTCATATCACAATAATGATACATTTCACAAGAAAGCCCATTTTCTGTAAATTAAATAAATAGGTAGGCTAGTTAAAATATCCACATGGAAAGGCCTATTGCTTATTACATTCTGAATTGTATACACTTAACAAGGCCTAAACTGCAAAAAGTGTCCCACAGTCTCTACATTTCAAAGGGGATCAAGACAGATCAGAAAAGGTTTAGGCTTCCAGAAGCAACCACAGTGGACAGAAAGGGCCCAACAATAAATGAATGAAGTGTAAACATAGTCATTAATCTCTGTCACGTTGTTTCCAAAGCAACAACAACTTCCTGTCAACTGCGCTAACTCTCCTTCAAAATAAAAGCATGTGTTACCTTTTATACTGACGGTATCTCGGCACCGAAACCGTAGTTTCGGATACACACCGGTGGTTTCTGACTTGGCTCGTTGTCAGCCGGTAACTAGCTGTCCAGATATTTCGAGGGGAAAAAGGATGAAGACGATGCGTTCGGGTGCCGTGGGAAGAACCTCCGTTTATTTACGTTCTTCAATTACATGGACACTGAATTGAATACATACAAACTAGACACTATACTCCTCTATACTTTCGTCTCTCTCTTCATACCTCCGCACTTCGCCTTGGCCATCACATTTTACACACACCGGACTTCCAAAAACCCACAACCCCTTGCGGCTGCTACTCTTAAAGTGACAGGCCAAGCCTGTAACACTACCCCCACTCTGGATGATGATAAAACAACCCTTAACATCACTCCAGCATGTAAACATTATAAAAGGAAAGCATGAAACATTAATGGCAACACATTCCCCACAGTCCTTGAAGGTGTCTTCCTTGCTGTGGAAACAGCTTGAATCATGAGGCAATGTCCATAAAAATGTCCACGAAGCATACTGCATAGATCCTTTTTTTTTTAACGTTTCAAAGGTGTATAAACACACATACTGACATGTACATAACATACTGTGATGTAGTTAATCAACCCAGTTAAATTCAACACTGTGTGACTTCACTCTATATATGATGTGGCTCTTAGGCATTACAATTGTACCATCTGTTTGGTTTCTCTAACCAGTTACATCCTGCATCAAGTGTCAAAGCAGTAAAACAGTATCCACATTACTCATTACCACAGGCAACTAAATGAAATAGAGCCACAAACTGTGGATGTATAACAATATAATTAAATAACTTTAGCTTAAGAGCATAGAATTACTCTGGAACTTTTTTTTCCTTTACTGAGTTAGGAACAAACCTGCTGACACCCTGACTCAGGTTAAACTATAACAAACCCTAGTGACTGACCCAGTCACCTAACATGTCAGGAACTCTGCGGACTCGCTGGGGTCTCTGTAGATGGGTGGAAATCCGTAGGGGATCACTGGCCGGGGCCCTGGAAGGGCGCTGAGTCCGAGGAAGTCTGTCATGAAGCCAGCTGCTGCTCGGCGTGACTGGCAGTGAAGAACCTGGGTCCTCGAGGGCCTCCACAGCTGGATCCTCTGCGTCTGATGGGGGGTCCCACAGGTGGAGAGGCCCGATGACTGTGTCAGATGAGTTGAGGTCTGGCTGAGGGGGCGGCACCTCGACAGGCGCCCAGGCTTCTGTGTCTTTGAACACCCAGCTGTTGTCTAATGGGGTCCTGGAATAATAAGGCTTGAGCTTGTCATGGTGGACAACTTTGACTTTGGCTCTGGGGCTCTTTTTGAGTCTATAGATCAGGTCATCCAACATGCCTACAATGAAGTAAGGGCCCTCGTAGGATGGCAGAAACTTTCGTACCTTGTTTTTAACCCTTTTGGTGCCTTTAATCAGGTGCCAGACTGCATCTCCCACTTTGTGTTGGGTTTGACAAATGTTTTTGTCATACTGTTTTTTAGCTCGCTCAACAGATTTCCCAAGAGCTTCTCGTGCTAGCTGGTGAGACAGCTCCAGACGTTCTCTCAGTTTCATGACATATTGAGGGGGGGTGTTAGTGTCGATATTGTCATTGTCAGGTGGCAAACCAGCGACCAGGTCGACTGGCTCAGTGACTTCTTTTCCAAAAAGCATCATATTTGGTGTCAATCCGGTGGAGCTGTGTCGAGTTGCTCTATAAGCCATGAGTGCATAAGGCATCATGAGATCCCAGTCCCAGTGACATCTGTCTGCAGTAGTAGCCAGGATTTTCTGCAGAGTGGCATTAAAGCGCTCTACCTGTCCATCAGACTGTGGGTGAAATGGGGTAGTTCGAGTCTTGTCAATCCCCAGCAGCTCGCACATCCCCTGGAAAACAGCTGACTCGAAATTTGTGCCCTGGTCACTGTGCAAGCACTGGGGAGCTCCGTACCTACACACCCACTCAGAGGCGATCTTTTCTGCCACCGTGGATGCTTGCTGGTCTGGGATTGGATAGGCTTCTACCCACTTACTGAAGTAGTCTTGCACTACTAGTATGTAGCTATTGTGTCTCTCTGTTTCATTTAAAGGGCCCATCACATCAACTGCAATCCTCTCCATGGGGGCACCGACTCGCACCGTGCCCATAGCCGCTCGAGGAGTTTTCTTCGGGCGAGCTTTAGCAGCACAGCTGGGGCAGGTGCGGCACCAGAGTGTGACATCGTCCTTCATGTTATACCAGAAATATCTGGTTTGCAGGCGTGTGAGAGTTCTTTCTACTCCAAAATGGCCTCCCACAGGACCATCATGCATCTGCTCCATCATTGAACTGCGGTACATATGAGGCAGCACAATCTGGGGGTAAAACGTTGTTCCTTCAGTGCTATAATATTTCCTCATTAGCACTCCATCTTTCTGGTTAAGTCTATTCCACTGTGCCCAGTATGATTTGGTAGCGGGGCTCAAGTGGGCTATGTCTGCATATGGCAGCCGGCCTCTCCCTTCATCCATCCACTTTTTTACTGGTGCAATGTCAGGGTCAGATTCCTGAGCCATTCTCAGCTGTTCTTGAGTCCACCCAGAGAATAAACTGGTGTTGGGAATATCACTCACCCAGTTGATGCTTGGATTTAGCAGGTCATAGTTGTTATTGTTGTCACTGCAGGCATCCTCTACCCCCACTGGAGGAAACTCTGGCTCAGCTACCCCCACTAGAGGTTGCTCTGTGGGAGTATATATGGCAACTTCAGCTGTACTGTCTGTCAGGTCACACTGGACCCCCTTATGCTGGTGTCGCTCGCTGTCATGCTCTGGCACTGTGCAGGGGCACGACTCCCTGCAGGGCCTCCTGGAAAGTGCGTCTGCATTTTGGTGGTGTCTCCCCGGTCGATGAACCACCTGAAAATCATACTCTGCCAGCTTCTCTAGCCAGCGGGCCAGCTGTCCCTCTGGTTCTTTTAACCTGGTTAACCAGCGCAGGCTGCTGTGATCAGTCCGGAGAGTGAATGGTCTGCCAAGCAGGTATTGTCTGAAGTGACAGGCAAACTCCACGCCTGCCAGAAGTTCACGTCTGGTGGTGCAATAGTTTTGTTCTGTGGCTGACAACCTCCTGCTTCCATAGGCTAGCACCCTCTCCTCACCCCCCTGGATTTGGGAGAGGACTGCTCCGATTCCCCAGTCACTAGCATCGGTGTCGAGAAGCATCTCGCCGCTGTCAAGGGGGTAGCCTAGGACAGGAGCTGTTGACAGTCGTCCTTTCAGCTCTGTGAATGCCTCCTGGCATTCCTCTGTCCAATTAAATCGTGCATACTTTTTGGTCAGCTCGTGAAGAGGTTTAGCTATCGTAGCAAAGTTTTCCACAAAGCGTCTGTAATATGATGCCAGGCCCACAAACTGACGTACCTCAGAGATGTTACGAGGCGTAGGCCACTCTGCCACTTTCTTCACCTTCTCTGGATCAGTAGACACACCCTGGGCTGAGACAATGTGGCCAAGGTAACCCACCTTCTCCCGGAAAAGGCAGCACTTTGACGGTTTCAGCTTCAGGTTAGCTCCTCGTAGCCTGGCGAACACTTCACTGAGCCGGCTTAGCATTTCGGAACCGTCCCGCCCCAGGACGATGATGTCATCGAGATACACCAAGCAGGTCTCCCACTGCAATCCCACTAATACTCTGTCCATTAGCCTCTGAAACGTGGCCGGTGCATTGCACAGTCCAAAGGGCATGACGTTCCATTCAAATAGCCCCTTGCGAGTGCAGAAAGCTGCGGCTTTGCGGGCCCTTGGTGTCAATTCCACCTGCCAGTAGCCTGAAGTCAAGTCTAGTGTACTGAAGTACCTGGCATTGGAGAGTGTGTCCAGAGTGTCCTGAATACGTGGCAGGGGATAGGCATCTTTAATAGTCCTTTCGTTAAGGGGTCTGTAATCCACACATAATCGCGGGCTTTGGTCTTTCTTCCTCACCATGACAATAGGTGCAGCCCAGCTGCTGTTGCTGGGACGAGCTACACCAGACTCCAGGCTCTGCTGTACCTGCAGATCTGCAGCAATCTGTTTGTCTCTGGCCATTCTGCGTGGCGGCTGCTTCACAGGCTGCCCAGGAGTAGTCTGTATGTCGTGCTGCACTAAGCTGGTGCGGCCAAGGTCAGTGGGCCCGGTGGAGAAGACATCACCGAACCTCCGTAGCACGTGAGCTAGCCCGGCTCTGTCCTCCTCAGACAGGTGAGCACAGCTCTCTGCATACATGTCCTGTAGATGACTGGGCACAGATATAACAGGAAAGTCATTGGGGTCTGATGTTACTGGGGACTTGGTCGGATGGAGATCCACTTCTCCCAACACCTCCGCTGGCTGAAGAACTCCGACCACCACCCCTCTCTTCAGAGTAACAGATGCAGGACCAGGATTGTAAATCCGCATGGGAATGTTGGAGGAATGCCGGGTCTGTACAACAATGTGGGCTGCCAGGACGTGCTGTCTCTCAACAAAGCCTTTAGTGGGGGTCAGCATCATATCTTTGTTAACAGCAGAGCGGAGGCGGGCAGTACCAGGCACCACATACTCACACCCCGACTCCAATACTGTTGTGCGGGATACCCTGAC